TAATAACTTAAGGATGCTTGTTGATATCAACCTCCCAAGTTTGTTGGCATGGCCAACCCAAAGCAACATATAACCCACCTTAGAAATTTTAATCCGGGTGAGTTTTCAATAGTATTGGTACTCTCCATGGACAATAATAAGCTCATGAGCTTGGTCTTACTTCACCGTCCAGAAACATCACTATCACTATACCAGAAAATTGACTCACTCTTATAGGGATGATGCTCTATGAAACTTGTTGATGCACAGAACTAAGGATCCATGACTTAACAACATTGTTACGGGTGAGTATTCTTTCGAAAGGCATTGAACTAATTCCATGGCTAGACCGATTCGAGTCGAGTGCTTACCTGCCTGGCTTGATCAATCCAGCACAAGCAAGCTTGGTCCCGGGTCCAAATATATATATATATATTTGAATTTAGACGAGTACTCGGTTGAAATAACAAGAGGCATCTATATGAATTGAGACGAGTACTCAGTTGCAAAAAAAGAGGCACATATATAGAGTCGCAGTTTGAGAGGCCAACACTTAAGCTGCAGCAGCTATCACACATTTCTTATGATTTGTGATGATCATGTGCAGAGTATTAAACCAACAAAGAGGTAAATACGGTTGTCTTATGAATAAAATAACCTTGAAGTTCAAGTAACAATCTACACGGTACACAAGGGTACTAATAATTCCCTACGAGTTGCATCAAGCTAGTAATTTGGCAAGTTCATCAACACCCAGGCTTCCTTGACCAACTACGTTGAGATAATCTGCTTTAATTTCTTTCATATTCTCATTTATATCAGTCTTTCTTTCATTTCTCCTCACAGAAACGGTGGATTGCATCCCTAAAACAGCTCCATCTAAACCGTCGCAATCTTGTTCCTTGTTTTCTTCAGCAGCTGCAGCTAACTTCTCCTTATGCCGCCATCTAAAGACAGGCCCGGCCGGAGCAGTCTTGGCAAAAGCGACAGACTCCTTAAAAACAGTATCGGCATCTAAGGTACGATCATCCAACAAAAATGCCATCCCACTTTCGACAGCTTGTTCTCTGAGCAATAGAATTCCTTCAGTACAGGGCATGCTGGAATTCATTTGCTCGTTTGTGCTGTTTAACCGCTCAAAGGAAACCACTGGGGAGATGCTGAATGCAGTTTCACCGCTTCCATTGTTTTCCATAGTATCGCTCTCAACTATTTGATTGGGAGCTTGTAAATTATCCTCACCACTAAAGCTTGCAGACAAAGGCTTTAACCTTGTTTCGAAAATGTTCTCCTTGTCAATAGAGCTTGGAACAGTAGGGGATGATGGTGCTAATAGTTCGCTAGCTTTAACATTGTTCGTTCCTTGCTGCAAACTCGTTCGGCTCTCGCCCAGTTCCATCACAGACTTCCAATCGCGTCCTCTCCACATAAGCATGTGTTCTTGTTCAAATGATAATAGAACACAAGGTACGAGATCCTGCAGTTGATGAATTAGCAATTCATTAAATTCCTCAACGACACATTCATTTTTCCTTTCAAACATTGACAAATAAGATGGGCTGGAATGCAGCTGCACAAGATAGTACCTTGAGTTTGGCACCTATTTTTTTGTAGTCACTCGGGTTCAGTCCCTGACAATCGATCCTCACTAGCTCACAGGCTTCAAACGCCTCCCTGACATTGTTCACAAGGTCACAGTAAACTCCATTTTTTGCTGCCAAAAACACAATACAAATATGATCCAAAGTTTAACGCAAATTTGAAACAGTAGATAATTTTCATCAATCTCCTAGGGAAAATTGAACAAATGCAATCACATACCAAGCTTGCATATTGGTGATAGATGACGACCTCTATTTCGCATATCACTTGCTTCTTCCAAAGTCAAACCCTCGGGAACTCGTTTAACCAGTCTTGGGTACACTGGGGAAATGGGCTTCCACAACATAAGAGGAAAGCTTGGTCGAGATTTAAAGTTATAGTTTCTTCCACGAAAAAGGTATACGACACCGCCTCTGTTGTATATAATTTTCCCTCCGGTTTTTTCCTGTGTGATTGCACAAACTTCCATAAGATGTCGTCAAACATGACACCAAAGTAGAAGCAGTTCTCTAGTTCAAGTTATTTTTATCGGTGGCTTCTATTTTTTTTTTTAGTCAGCTCAGGTTTCAATGTCATGATAGTGCTACATGCCAATGACTTGTGGAATTGAGTGATTGCGATAGTTTAAGTTGATTCTAGAATATGCATTTAAACACAATGTTCTAAAAAAAGTTAGGCGTTCGCTAGGCAGCAGGCTGAGGCCTATGATTAGACTAGACCTACGGGAGCTCGTAAAAATATTAATAAATTTATTTACATATATCGACATACATAATACATAATTCACAAGATACATTATGCAAAATATACTAATTAATACGGACAAGTATTAAGATTTATCAAATAATGATATATTCAAAACTGTTGCATTAAGTTTAACACGATTATTACTTTTTTTTTTTAATTTTATAGTTATTGTATAAAAATTAAACCCTACTTTTATTGTA